ATTGCTCAAAGTCAGTAGGTGGAAATGCTATTGCGTCGTTAAAAGTGTGTCTATTTTTTCACGAGAGACGATGATATTCTTTGAAAAGAATATGGTTCATCGACATATGTGTTTGGCCAACAATTTATCATGATGGATGATTTGTTATTATTAGCGAGTCCACAATTTTGTACATGGACATTGGTTTACCGGTAACATACGGTGTGGTGGAATTTATGTAAATGGTTGATAAACTTCCAAAAAGCAAATCATGAGAGTCGCACCCAAAAATTTCAAGCCTATTAATGAATTCTTAGAATTTGTTGATTCTAATGGAGTATGGTAATTCTTTGTTTGGAGTTGCGGATGTAAAAGAAAATATTCATTAAAAGTTTTAATGTAGCACAACCAGGGGGTGGAAGAGACGGAATTGTACTGGAGGCATATTATTCGATCTAGAAGTAAATAATTCTTATTTGGATACCTTGGAAAATTCAAAGTCAAGGTCGAGATTTTTAGAATTTTGATTTAGTATTGTCTAATTAAAATCTAATTGTGTTTGTTTGTCCAAATAAAACATGTTTTTTCACATGTAGTGGGATTATTGTGAAACTCACATCAAATGGAATTCAAGTGACACTTCTATTGTGTCTCTTGTGGTGAGATTATTTGTAGTCTCACATGTCCATGAATTTTTTGTAGAATTAACTGAGTACTTTAAAAACTATTGCTTGTATTTTTTTTTTTTATTAATCTTTTACTTTGCAGGAGGAGAGAAATGCATGGCCACTTAATATTCGCATAATTTCAAATCTAACCCTTGTTTGATTCTCATTTTTCTAAAAATTTATTTTCAACCACACATTATTCAATAAAATAATATTACATCTAAATTCATAACTTTTTTTTAAAATTTTTAACCAAACATTATCCATCAATCTACTATTCGAAATACATTTTTTCCCTCAAAATGGGAATAAAACACGGGATTAATATGGAAAAAATATTAATGAATTGAAGACAAATGAAACACGGTCACAACTGGAACTACGGGTATTAAATGTGGCTAGCCGACATGCTCCCGGCTATATCTCAATTTGACAAATCAATTCACAAGCCAACTCATGCAAGCTCGTATGACATATCGCTTCTCGACGTGCTAGAGGAATGAACCGTCGTTGAGCACCCCACTTAACATCCCTAGCCCCTGTTTGGGCCCCATTATTTGTAGATTATAATGAGATGAATAGTATTTTTTTCAAAAATGAGTGACTGAAATTTTTTTGATTTACATGTAATATTATTTTATTAAAGATTGTGTGGTTAAAAGTAGGAGAGAAATTTAATTTAATGTAATGAAAAATAATGGAGCTCAGACGGGGGCTAAAATACCAATACCGTCATTAATAGATATACAAAAAAATAAAAATAAAAATAAAAAATAGAATAGACATTATTTGTGGGCAAGTTGTCTGTCTCAGCCTTGTACTTATAATTATTTTGTCACCTACATTCCCCACAATTTTGCTCCTTATCATTATATAAGAAGCCCACTGTCTTAATCCTTTTTCTCTAAACATCTTATCCTTTTCTTTCTTCACAATGTTGACATATCCAAAGTTCCAAACAAATAACTATATTTATGCACAACTTGCAATATTCTTGATTTTCCTATCATGTCCTTTCAATATTATAGCCTTTTAACTTTAAATACCATAATGAAGATTGTTGTCTTTAATCAATTCACAAATTAGTAATAACTAGTCACCATCCTATTTCTCTATAATATTATTTATACACATCTTGTATTCTTAAGTTTCCGATAATTTCTTTCAATTTAATATTAACCTTTTTAACTTTAGATGTCATAATCGTGAGGAATTTCTAATCAATTCACTTAATAATAAGCTAATCTCCGTACTTTTTCGCCATTTCACATCAATGTAACCAAAATAAAAGTACAATTTTACTACGGCTAAATCATAGGATTTAGTGATGAGTTTAGGATCTTACAATTTAATAGATTTTATTTTTATTATTTTATTAAGAATTGAAAATTATCATTGATTCATAAATTTTGTCACAATATGAAAAGCTCATGCCCACAAACTAGAATTGGTTTACTCTCACTCGATTGGGTTTTAATTCTACACCAACGAGTAGTTTGTTACAAAATAACCTGACTCCTACCGGTTCATCTTCATCATGAGATGTCCATTGAGATTAACGGTATGCCTATTTAACAAATGTTAATCATGTCAAGTAATGCCTCAAAAATTTAAAATCTGCACATTTTCAAAAAACTGTATTCATTCAATAATGTAAGTAGACTCATTATGCAAATATAGAGCCTGTTTGGGCCCGATTTTTTTACCCAAAAAATTGATTTTTTGACCGTTATTTCACTATTTCAGCCGTCATATTTGACTTCTTCTCTCACAGGTGGACTCCACTTTTCTCCCAACGATCAAAAAATCAATTCTCAAAATAACTTCCAAACAGGCTCATAATCGTTTTGATCTTGAAAAGTAGTGATCATCTTGAGAAACTATCAAAGCAAAAAAAAATCTGTTAATTAATTTTTTGCTTTCACAATTTTCTTTGAAATTATTATGTTTTTCTTTATTTATCCTCAAATCAACTATTTTTCTTTCAAATTATTATTTTTCTTTTTTCATTCTCAAATCAACTATTTTTTATAACTATCATATAATTAAAATAGCTTAGTTTGTTTTTGGCTCGTATTTGTAAACACTCAAGTTACTTTTATTAATACATTTTGAAGAACCTATAACTACCCCTTCTTCATCACACATTCCTATTTATTATAATTTTTAATTAAATTATTTATAAACACTTCTGAAAAATGATCTTAATTAGTAAAACATTTGAGAATTCATTATTTTTCCTCTTTCAAATTCAAACCTTATTATGTTAGTCATGACAAATTTTGGTCCATTTCGAGAAAGAATCAAACACCTTTAATTTTTGACTAAACTCGATTTGTTGCATTTACTACCTAATCATTGAAAATTTTTGAAAAATAATAAATGCGTTTGTTTCGCATTTTTGTAAAAAATGAGAATGAAAATATAATCGTTATAGACCCTACACAAGAGATAGAAATTCAAATATAGTGGTTTGATGTGATGAATAACGATCATACTTTTTATTTTATTGAGGAAATAATGGGAAACAAGCATGGGCTGAGAAAGAATCAAACACCTTTAATTTTTGACTAAACTCGATTTGTTGCATTTACTACCTAATCATTGAAAATTTTTGAAAAATAATAAATGCGTTTGTTTCGCATTTTTGTAAAAAATAAGAATGAAAAATATAATTGTTATAGACCCCGCACAAGAGATAGAAATTCAAATCTAGTGGTTTGATGTGATGGATAACGATTATATTTTTTATTTTATTGAGGAAATAATGGGAAATAAACATGGGCCTAATGTAGAGGGAAATTAATTACCTACTCAATAAATCCCCTTGACTTTAATAAAATCCGATTTTATTAACATAAATGTATGCATTTAAAACATTTTGAAAATGAAGGTGGAGGGAAATGGTTCTCGAATTACTAAGAACATATTCGACTAAGTTTAAAATGTTTGCACCTAAATAAATATGTGAGCTTTAAATTAAATCATTTTTCATGATCAAAGTTGGAGATAAACAAATTACTTATTTTGAGTATATAGCAATATTTATTTTAATATGAGCAACTTTTCTCTAAATTAAGTATTTTACCTTAAACTATCACAAATGAAAGTATACTAAAATTAACTTTAAAAATTACTTCTATACGTAATCAAATGTGCTCCAGATCCTTGATATTTTAATTAAATTAAATTCTATTTTATTCATTTACAACCATTTGAAACATTTTTAAAAATTAAAGTGGAGGAAAAAGAATAATTTTGTAGTTGCTAAGAGTTTGTTTGAGTGCAATTTTTATTGAAGAATACAATCTAGAATAATAAATTGATGGAAAATATATGATTAAAAAATAAGGAAAAATTTTGAATTTACGTGTAATATTATTTTATTAAAAAATATGTGATCGAAAAGAAGAGAAAGAAAAGCTTGTAAAAACTAAGAAATGCACTAGTTCAACGTGAAAAACTCAAATGAGGGCTAAACCTAAATATACAGTACACGTTCGACATGAAAAACTCAAAAATCAATTCGATTACATATCAAAAATTTAAAAGCTTGTGAAAACTAAGAAATGCGCTTGTTCACGTGAAACCATATGGACTAAAACCAATTTTATTGATTTTTAAATTAATCATAATTTGCAAGAAAGTAAAATTCATATATCAAGTTAGAATAATGCTCCTGTATATGAAGAGCTACATAATGATTTACGTACAAGAGTATCGAACATAGTCACATCTCAACATAGTCACACATCAAGTTAGGAGTAGCATTGTTGTTAAAGAAATTCTAACATAGTCACATCTCAACACAATATGTACATGTAAAGCATTATGTATACGTAATATAATCGATTAATTAGGTTATGGTTGAGCCACATTTATTAAAAAAAAAATATATATATATATATATATATATATATATTCTTAAACAGTAATTTAATATTATTTCAACCACACATTTTTCAATAAAATAATATTACATGTAAATTCAATACATTTTTTATTTTTTAACCATATATTTTTTATCAATATACTATTAAAAAATGCATATAAAAAATAACGTGACTCAAACAATGGCTTTATTTATTTATTTTTACTATCTCGATTCGACTTTTTAAACTATTGTTCGATATATTTTAAAAACTATTACGAAACCCTAGGAAAGTTTGTCCACCAAACACGCTATTTTAGTTGTTATCAGCGTTAAACAAGGATGTAAGGACAAAGATATTTCTCGTAACAAACGTGTAAATACACCCACCAATCAGGGATAATCTCGTATTTTCACACCTCGAAAATGTCCACTATTTCGTAACTTCACCACTATCCCTCTACCGGTCCACCATCTTTATTAACCCCCGACCCAACACGCCACTTCCCACTCTCTCTCTCTCAAAATTTGTGCATTGTGTTTGAGAGGAGAAAAAATGGTTGATGAGTTCATGGTTTGTGTGGATAGAATAATAGCTTCTGCTGCATGCTTTGAACGGTCATCATCAGAGAGTGATAGAGAAACTAGTATTAATGATAATGCTGCTGAGAATGTTAATGCAATTAGTGAAATGGTTTCTTTGAAAAAAGGCAATAGCTTTAATGGAAAAGATATTGGTGAAGGAAGTTCAACAAAGGAAAGTATGAGAGAGTGTAGGATTTGTCAAGAGGAAGATGACGAAAAAGATATGGAGGCTCCTTGTGCTTGTAATGGCACTCTCAAGGTACAGGTTTTTTTTTTTTTTTTTTTTTTCTGGGATTTTATTGTATTTCTTTACTTTTTACGATCATTTTTGAATTATTTTTGTGGGCTTAATTTTATTATGTTAATTTTTCGTTCTCTTGTAAAGCTTGTGAGGGAATTTTCAGGTCCAATTTTTTGTGGGATATTTTATATTTTACAGTCCTTTTTTCAGTTATATTTTGTGGGCTTAAACTGTTTAGTTATCTTGTAATGCTTGCAAGAGTACTCTCAAGGTCCAATTATTTTTCTGGAATTTTCTTGTATTTCTTTCCATTTACAATCCATTTTTGAATTTTTTTTTTTTTAGTTATCCTGTAATGCTTGCAAGAGAACTCTCAAAGTCCGATGGATTTCCTTGTATTTATTTACCTTTTACTGTCCTTTATTGATTATTTTTGTGGGTTCACTTTTTCTTTTAAAGTTATTTTTTTTTATTTTTTATTTTTTAGATGCTTGCCGTTCTGGAATATAGTTGGAAAAAGTTATTTTCCTGTTCATTTACACTATTTGTTTTCTTTGTTTGGGTATTTTTTCTTGGATTTTCTTTAATTATTTGACCCTTTGCATCCTTTTCTGATTTATTTTTTTTGGATATTTCTTTTTAAATCTTGGGTTGAAGTTTTCAGACAATTCAAATGGGTTTTGTGGGGGAAAATGTATCCTTTAATGTTTATACCATTTTGTTATATGATTTATGTCTTTTTTTCAAATAAAAATTTCTTCTTTGGGGTCAATTGGTTAACTCATAAACGAGTTTATTGGAAATCTGAATATTCGCCTACTCTTTATAATCCTCCTTTTTTTTTTTTTGGGCATGAGACTATTAAGAATGGATTCACGGGTTTCTCAATACAGTGCTGTGAGAGGTTGGTTACAGCTTTAATAAATTAATATAGAATATAGTTTTTTTTTTATTTTTTTGCTTTAATTGTTGTTGTATTTTGTGGTTGAGATTTTTGGATTTTTTACTTTTGTTTATATTCATATGTTTTTAATTATTGGTGGGTGCTTTTAATTTCTAGTTTTCACATATTTTTGGTGCTTCCATTCCACATAATACTGATAAAATCCATATTTTGTGCCCAGATTTCAGTTGTTCAATTTGAAAAAATGGGAGCCCCTTTATGTAGTTCTGATTGTAGTATAATTTACTAAAAGAAATCATTTCTTTTGTTCAACTGTTGCAAGTTGAAGCAGTGAAGCAACATTGATATTTCTTGTTTATTTGTGTTTGAAATTTAGTTTGCCCATAGGAAGTGCATTCAGAGATGGTGCAATAAAAAGGGTGGTATAACCTGTGAAATATGCTATCAGGTTGGAATTTTACTCTAATTTTTCTTATTGTGTCAGAATTTATGATCTTCTCGTAACAGAGGAAATATGAAAGTCGAAACTAATGTCTCCTTTTAACAGGTTTTCTCACCCAATTATACAATTCCACCCCCGAGAAGTAATGTTGATGTTATGACTATTGATATCAGGTATATTCTGGAGTGTCTTATGAAAATTTTCATTGTTGAATGTCTAGTATTCAGCATGGCATATTCAAGACCGAGAGGTACACGAATTCATCAATAGATATTTGGTTTGCAGTAATTGAAGTGAATTTCTAAAACGATATTAAAGTGTATCTCATGTTCTGCTTCTTGATCTTATTGGTATGTTTGGTAAGGAGAATTAGATGATATTAAGCCCCTGTTTGAGCCCTATGGGGAATGTTACGTAGAATATTCGGACAAAAAATAGGGAGAAGTTTTGAGCTTACGTGTAAAATTATTTTATTGAAGAATATGGTTGAAAATTAGTTTTGAGAAAAAAATGGGACTCAAACAGGGACTAAATAGTATAGTGTGAGGAAAAATATGAGTCACCTAAAGTGGATTTAAGAAAAATACAGCTACAAATGGACATAAATATTTACGTGGCTCATAAGAATTTTATATTTTTCTCTCCATAATTTTACTTGTCTATCTACTCACTATTTCTTTTCTCTACTATATGTACTAGATAACTCATTGCCTCTCTTCTCACCTCTCAATCGTTGTTTCTCTAATCGCATCTTCTATTTATAGTGGAATTGTCACATACTTCATTAATTATGGGACCATAATTTCAACATAAATATTAAAAAAATTTGATTGCATTTCCTGTAGACATTTTCCGATTGAAATGAAAAAGTCATCAAAATTTATACATTTCCTGTAGACTTTTACCATTAGCATTAAATGCTAGTCAACTAACATTTAATGCAAGCAAATAAAGAAAAGTGGCTTTAACTTTGCTATCCACCTAGCATTTATTGCATGCAAGTCAAGAAAAGCATATTTTTATGGAGAACTCGAAGAAATTTATATCATCCAACGGGAAGGTTTTGAAAAAAAAAAAAATTGAAAAGAGAAATTGATTTGTAGGTTGTACAAAACTCTATACGATCTCAAATAGACACCGAGATTTTGGTACAAGAGATTTTAATCCTTCATCACGAGACTTGATTACAACAAACTCAGTTAGGTCCTTGTGCCTACTAAATGAGATTTGAGATTTGGAGATAGTAATTTCACTAGGTAGTTGTTGTTTGTTGACGATAATTGGTAGCAGACTCCAACAAAGATTGTATTAAGGACTTGAAGGCACAATTGGCTATGGAGTTTGAAATGAAGAAGTTAGGGACCAGCAAATAAGATTCCATGGATGCAAATTTACCGAAACAAAAATAATAGGAAAATTTGTCTTTATTTAGGAAGACCGACTTGAAGAAAATCTTCCAACGCTTTAATATGCAAGATTATAAGAAAACTTTTACTCGTCTTGCTATTAATTTCAAATTATACTCAAGTATGAGATTTGGCAAAGAAGTAAAGAGGAAGAAAAAAAATGTTAATGGAGGAGCTTGGACACAAACAAGAGAAGATTGCTATTTTGTGATAGACACAACGCTTTGTACCTGATAAAGAATCCTGCATTTCATTTGAAGACTAAGCACATTCAAGTTTGGTATCACTTTGTTCGAGAGAAGATGGAAGAAAGGGGTACATACAGAAAATCTATACAAAGTACAACCTAACAAATGTTAACAAAGCAAATTAGTTTTGACAAGTTTATCTGGTTTCTACCCTCTATCGGTGTAGTGGAAATGTAAGTAGTATGTAAATGGCAAGTGTAGGAAGGATAAATAGTAACAACATAAGTGCTTTAACTGGGAGAAATGTTGGTCATAAATTTAAAGTCACTTTCTTGACTTGCATACAATAAATATTAGGTGGCTAGCAAAGTAAAAGCCACTTTTCTTGACTTGCATGCATTGAATGATGGGTAATTAGCCTTTAATGCTGAGGTTCTACAGGAAATGCAGAAATTTTGATGAAAATTTTCACTTAAGATGAAATGTGTACATGAAATGTAGCCAACTTGTAGTATTGATAAACAAAACATGAGCTAAAATCATGTTTACTATCTCATCTGGACGTATCTACTAGTGTGTACCAAATTACATTATAGGTATTTGTTTCTTCATGAAGGTATTTGTTGAAATTCATAGAATCTCTTTTCTTACCTCAGGCAAGCATGGGCTCAACGCATTGGTCTTCGTGATCCTCATTTTTTTACTTTTACGACAGCTGATCACCAGTTTCTGCAATCAGACTACGAGGAATATACTGTTGCAAATAGTCGAACTCTTGCATGTTTTCGCTCTGTGGTGATCATTGTAAGCAACCAAGATATGCACGGTGTGAATTTTGATGTAGAATTTGTAATTCTAGCAAATATGTGAAATGTGGGTTTTCCATCTTTGCAGCTGATGCTAATCTTGTTGATACGCCAAACTTTATTGGTCACAAGAGACTTTGGGATGGTTCATGCGTCATCAGGTTTCTTCCATGTAAGTCCAATTTTTATATTTCTTTGTGTGTTTGAGAAATCAGTTTGCATTTGCAATCTCTTGCTGGAATTCTATTGGACCCTGTGTTTTATTTTGGTGGCGTTAAAAAAATATTCATATGCAACATTTTTTTCTTCCAATGTGGAAATTCAACTTTTTCTTTGAAAATTTCAGTATCAGATATCTGTTCTTCAGTTGGCCGGAATCCTTATCCCTTGCTATGTGGTGGTCCGTTCGTGGTACATTGTACAATGCCGCCGGAGGAGACAGGTTTTTAACGCTGTTATGTCATTCACCTTCTGTGATTGCTCTCTGCTTTGTGTTTTCGTATTTTCTGAGTTCTGGTTCCAATAATAAACTGGAAAGCAGACTAACCCTGAAATTAACACAACCGAGTTCCAAAACCGATATAATTTAATCCAAAGCAGTCCAAATGACAACTGTTGTAGTCAATTTTGTAAGTAATACTTGGTATCGTTTGAGTACATAGATTTGGGCTGGTAAATTAACACGCATGTGATACACACATCACTTGATGTACAAAAGCAAGAACCTATGTTTTACTACAGAGTGGACTATCTTTATGTAATTCTGATGTTGCTGAGCTTTGTTTGCTTCTGTCACTACTCGTGGTTTGGTGTCGACTGAATTTGCCTATGTCCATGCAGTTTGTATACTTTCGGTTTCTAATCTGCTTTATTGTTTATTCATCAGGGGTGAGATTAAAGGGATTGAATCAAAATTATCTCTGGTTTAGGCAGCAGCATCATTTTCTTATGCTCCTGAATACTGGGCTCGTATTTGTACATCGGATTTTCTCTTCTTCCCACAGTTGTGTTCATATCTGAAGGTGCAACGACCGAGGAGCAAACTTGCTGCCATAAATTATAAGAAACTTTTTTATTCAACCTGTGAGCTCAGAAGCAAATGTAAATGTGAATGTTGAGTTCATTAGGTGTTTTTTTGGATTGCTAAACTACAGATTTTGTGGGGGTGCTACTGAGTTTTGGGATTTTTTTTCTGAAAGTTAACATTTTTCCTGATTTTCTTGTTACTTTTTGCACGGATGCTGCAATATCACATTTATTTAGACAAACCATCAAGAACTCAAATTTTTTTCTCGTTTAGCAGGGGAAACAAATTAGTACTTCAAACACAGAGTGGTGCCCAAAACCAATCTAATATTATGATAACACGAATATTTCTTTCATGAAAAGGATCATCCATGTCCCAAAAAAATTTGTAATCATATGCACATCGACTATGGGCAAATGAAGGAAATAGCCATGTGTTCGAAATTTCAAACACTCCCTATGATTTAGTACGCTTTTGACAAGGCTTTTAAGAAGTTAGAAGTTGCTTAAAAATTTGTTTTTTGAACATATTTGAATGTTTTTTAAAAAGTGCTTTGTTTGGTTAAAAGAGTTACTTGAGAAAATTGATTTAAGGCAATTTTCTCTAAAAGCTATCTACAAGAATCAGAAACAAAGGTAAAAATTCTACAAATGGCCTTAGTTAATAAGTGGTCAAATGATGCTAACTCACATTTATAATAATTTTTTGTCATTTTTTTAGGTACTATTCAACAATATATGCAGGATCTTAATGATGGCAAAAGAGTAAAAAAACACTCCCTATGATTTAGTACGCTTTTGACAAGGCTTTTAAGAAGTTAGAAGTTGCTTAAAAATTTGTTTTTTGAACATATTTAAATGTTTTTTAAAAAGTGCTTTGTTTGGTTAAAAGAGTTACTTGAGAAAATTGATTTAAGGCAATTTTCTCTAAAAGCTCTCTACAAGAATCAGAAACAAAGGTAAAAATTCTACAAATGGCCTTAGTTAATAAGTGGTCAAATGATGCTAACTCACATTTATAATAATTTTTTGTCATTCTTTTAGGTACTATTCAACAATATATGTAGGATCTTAATGATGGCAAAAGAGTAAAATTTTTTGCAACAAATAATCTCGACATGGATGATGAGGATGTGATTGTAGAAGACATAATATATAAGCTTTGTAATGGGATGCATTATACTAGACAATACTTGTATATATGCACTAATCCCTTCATATCCAAGCTTCTATGGTTTAAACAATACTTAAGATGTCGAAAACAAGCAATTGATAAATCTGATGAATGCTACATGCCTAAGGACAAATATGTATTTACATATCCAGATGATGACATCATTCTTAAGGGAGTTGATCCCTCCCTGTTGAATGAGAAGGCACTTGCAAACATTATTTTGAACTTGCTATGTTGGACGAAAGCAAAATACGTACAAGAGATTCCATATTCTGGGACAAATTTAAAAGATGAGGATATAATTCACTTGAAAAAGTTGAAAGGAACGAATTACCGTGCTGGTGAATTTAGACTATGAAACGACCTTTCAATTCGATGAGATATCAATTATTGCAAAAGAGTACGAAGAAGAAGACAAACTAATTATAAAGGAACCAATTGAAGAAGTGGCAATTAATTATTATGAAATTAACACACATTCTTTTGACTTTGTCAATTGTCCGACAATTGAATTTGTGATTAAGTTCGAGGAAGAAGAAGTCTAAAGTAGTTGATTTTGAATCGGATGGAATAGGCAAGTCATATCACATTAAAGGATGCAAGGTCAAAATTTTGAGAATCAACGAAAAGTGAATCAAAGTCAAAATAAGCAAACTAAGCAACCCATCAAAAGTTTTCTTTTGAATTTCATGATGCAGAATATCAAAGTCAAGCTAATGACTAAAAATAAATGCTTATTGGGAGGTAATCCAATTTTATTCCCTTTCATTTACTTTGCTTTTTAGATATAGAATTAATAATTTTTATTACTTATAGTAGTATAAGGTATTTTCATCCCTCTATTTCCCTTTAGGGTGCGTTTGAGTTTATTATAAAAAGTTCCATATTATCGTTGATTTTATAATTATTTTGAATGAACATGACACCTGAACACATTAGAGAAGGGAGTGATTCAGCACTTCTATACTAGTCTATCCACCGCTTGCAGATTTATATCATGGGAGTACTTAGTTTCCTTCTTTACCCTTATTTTTGTATATGACTTGTCATATTTTTAGATATTGAGGGCAATGTCTGTTATAAGTTTGGAAGTAGAGAAATATCTATTTTTTTCATAATCTTTTTTTATTGTTTTGTATACTTGTTTGAGTGAAAAAATCCAAAAAAATATTTTATTGTCAACTTTATTTTTTGTTTTTGTATGCTTGTGTGGGTTAGATAAATTTGCCTATTATGATGAATATATTTAGAACCACGTGTTAGGCTATAAATTGTGAAAAAGTTACACGCTATGGTTGATTTATATTTATTCATGCGAAAGTAAATATTTTTGGGCACAAGATTTATGTTTTGTATGATGAAAAATAATTTGATTCAAAATTTGAATATGTTGAAAATAAAATACAGCGGACCTTATATGGTAAATTCAAACAACCACTAAATTATACATCATTAAATCAAATTTAGAATAGTTTCGCTTGTAGGGAGACATTGAGATAAATATGTATTCCATGTGGGGTAAATTTTATATGTATTGTCTAAGGCTAATAAGATGAAAAATTGATGAAAATCTTAAGTTATGGATTGATTTTTTGATAATAGGTATTGCACTAATCATTATATAAAAGGAAACAAAAGAATGAAAATAAAAAAATGTATCTTTTTGTAAAATGCCTCTTTGTAGCCTTTATGATCCAAGTGATCAAGTATATAAGGGTATTTAAGACTTAATGCCCTAAAGTCATTTAACTTGAAAATCATCGGTCAAAATCTTGCTATAGGGATCATTTGGAAATCTTAATGAAGAGGAGTCCACACATAAGATATAACAAAAGAAAAAATATCTATACAAAAAAAAAAAAAAAGGTTGTTACATGCCTTGATTAAGCCCTAAACATTTATTTTAGAGAATTGAACTTTTGATAAGGCATTATTAGTTTAGTTGATTCTTGGGGGTTGAAGCAATAAAAAATAAGGAGAATCTTTATTTGTTGATATATTGTGCTGCAATTAGTAAGATCGAACCAAGTTAGAGAGCGTGAGGACTGGTATATAAATTTAACCTTAGATCACACCTTGGTAAAGAGTTAAAAAAAATAAGTTTAGGGGTGTGCATCTTACAGAAAAGAAATTATATATTTGACTATTGAGGATGGGGGCTTGAATCACATTATGAATTTATGATACTTGACATGAATTTTCACACACACACACATGTCGATTTTGTATTAAATGAGTAGAAATTAATCTTCACAATGTGTTTCGAAGTAGTTTATAGTTTTAATATGGGAATTCTAATCTTGAAGCCAATGACAAACTACCTAACTATGTTTAAAAATTTTGTGATTAAGTCAAAATCTATTTTTCTTAGGGACGACGTGATGCAAATCGGCACGTGCGCATGGCTTTTTGGAACACTCGTAAGACATCAATTTCATGACCCGAGAGCAAGTCAACATGCCTGTGTGCACGCGGTTGGTGTACTGTATGCGTGCCTAAGCTAACTTTTTTGGTGACACATAAGTTTTTTTCTTAATTCAAACTCTTATTGGTAATAATTTTAAGACGATTTCTTGACCTAAATTCAACCCTTATAAATAGAGAACTTGGGAGAAAAATTAAAAAAAAATCTGTCTTGCATTTTCATGCACAATAATATCATCAAATTCATCAAGAATAAGAGGTCAGTTCATTACTTTTGGGAAAGAAGATCAAGGCCTAGTAAGAATTGAAGGCCAATTACATCGAGAAATTGAAAAATTCAACTTTTGAATTGGAAGATCAACATCTTTTGTTTCTTTCACGAATTGTAATTTATTTAAAACCATGCTAGGCTAATTTTTATTTTTATTTTTTGGTATTGATGATATGAACCATATTGTTTATTTGTTTTAAATTTAAGACTAATAGTTTAATTTAGTTCTTGTATTTCTTGATTAATTTTGCATATCCATTGCATTATTTAATTGATTGGCAATCAATTAGATAATTAGTTGCTTATTATAGTGTTGATAACTCACAATAAGTTTAGAATGCGAAAAAAATTAACGTATCTGCAATCAATATTAGGAATAACATTTATCACTTCTAAAATCATATAGATAATCTAAAATTTATTGCGTTTTAACCATTCGAATTCGAGGTAAAAATAGATTCTGGTAGTGGTTAAAATAAAATTAGGGCCTGTTTGAGCCACATTATTTCAAAAAAATATATTCTTAAATAGTGATTTGATATCATTTCAACCACACATTCTTGAATAAAATAATATTACACGCAGATCAAAAAAATTTTCTTATTTTTTAACCACACATTTTCCGTCAATACACTATTCAAGAATACATTATTACCAAAATAATGTGGCTCAAACACCCCCTTAATTTATCTTGAAAGGAAAAGTTAAATGCATTAACTTTATCGATTGTTAAGAACACATAAACAAAACTAAGCCTTTGTTTGGCCTCCATTTTTTCAAATAAAAATGGGTATAATATATTTTTTTAAAGAATGATTGGTTGAAAAAGAAGGAAAACTTTTTGGTTTTCGTGTAATATTATTTATGTAAAATTTTGTGATTAAAAAATAGGAGAGAGAAAAGTGAAATTTAATTAAATGTAGGCCAAACGAGGGCTAGATTTCAAGTCAAGAATCGAAATAGATAACAATAGTTGGAGTCGAAATCCAATACATTCATCCATAATTTGATAAAATTCAAACTTTTATTGCTTTCTTAGATTAATTTAGCAAAAATCAAATTAAAGTCTCTCTTTCATTTTACATAATTCGAATTTCATATATAATTAGTAAACTTGAATTAAAATTTGATCCTTTTGAGACTATACTCTCAACTAATCAATTCTATTACTTGTCAACGATCTCATACGCTTGCGGGTTTCGCTCGAACACCTCCATTCAATCTTCCATTGAAGATACTGCAAATCATCTTTCAAAAACCTTCTGTTAACCCTTACATTTCACCTATTTCTATCTATTGTTTTTTCAATCCATACATTAATTGAAGCATTCAATCACTACAATTTTTGATTTAGCAACATTCATCAAACATTG